AAGAAACTCGCAGACATGCTGCCACGGCGACAAGCGCACGTCCCTTCAACTTGATTCGAAACGTGTTTTGCATTGCACACAGAAGCTGGGCATCAAACTGCGACTCGTCGACGTGCAAGTTCTCCTTGTACGAGCGACGGCCTGGAGGAGTTAGCCGAGCTCCCTACTTCCGCTCTGATGGTCAGGTCAATCAGAATTGTGGGGTTGCTGGTTGAACTGTCTCACTTGTCAGAAGCCTACTTGGCCTGAAGGGACCCTGCTTCGGCGGGGAAATCTGCTTGTTGTCTTTGCTGTGACGTTGTGGCCCTCGGATCTAATCCTCATGACTGTGGCGAACACTGCGGCGCAGGACAATTCAAGTGGGGTGGTTAGATGATGAAGGACCCTCCATTCCAGGTTCCTCTTTTGTATATTGAGGACTTCCATGACTGACCTTAGTAGCCTTGGCTAGGTTGCATGCACGGCTTCTGCTACAGTGGAATGCCTCTTCAGCTGCTAGCTCTACGTGGACTGTTGCCGAACTAGCACATCATGCACAACCCGATCACATCCGATCACATGAAATTGTACATAGGTCTTCTGCATCAGGCCGCAATCGCAGGCATGCATCACGCCAAGTGCGGTCTTGGGTCTAGCGTCTTTGCGATTTTCATCAGAGTCATGAAGTCATGAGGAGGCTGGGGTCTATTCATTGTCGGTCTCTATTAGCGCCTGCAACAAGGAGAGCAAGGCCCTCAACAACAAAACGATGGCTCCTGCGAGGCTATGGTAGTTTCCCTGAAGAGGGGTGCCCCAATATAGACCCCAAAATATTATAGTCCTTATGACAGGGACCCCCAACATGGTACCCCTAATTTCAGGAAACAACCCTGTGCTTTCCAAGGCACTCGTCCGCGCGCTGCACGTCGCCAAGGCCCAGGGCGGCGGAATTGGACTCGCCCCAGACCTCATGACCAGACGCATCTTGGGCCACAGCAAATGAGCTATAGTCTAAACTCCTAGTATCCCCCTTAGTAACCTCGATAGTAGTCCCCTATATAATCCCCTATATAACCCCTTTTAGGGAGTTTAGACCATAGCTCAAATGATTCAGTCTAGCAGCTGCTGGTGCATACATTCATGGCACGGTTTAGCTGAGGAGTTCTCAGCGCTTTGCTAAGAGCTCCCCACGCGCGGTCAGCGCAGCACAAAAGCCCCCACCACAGGCAACGGACACGACCTAGGGCATCCAGCAAATTCAGGTAATGCCCTATCTGTACCATTGTCTAAACTCCTAGTATCCGCCTTAATAACCCCTATAGTAGTCCCCTATATAATCCCCTATATAACCCCCCCAAAAGGAGTTTAGACTAATGCCCTATCTGAGATCTTTTTGAGCACCGGTCAAGGGTGGCATGGAGTCCCGGCCTGCCAACAAAGGCAAAAGCAAGGACTTCTTTCCCGAGTCTGAAGGAGGAGGGTTATTGGGGCTACATTAGGGTAACATTGGGGTTTTATAGGGGTTATAGTAGGATAATGGAAAATAAAATGGAAACTACTATACTAATATGTGGGCTGCAACTATATTACACTCATCAAATACCTATGAGCAAACAAAGCTGCGAGAGACTGTAAAGCCGAATGCTGGCCCTGTCTGCCTCCGCCTCCAGTCCGGACAGGCAAGAGGGCGGCTGCCCTCTGATCCATCGCCACCATCTGCGTACCATGCCTGGTAAGATGCCCTGCTCTCAGACAAATGTTCCCACGATTTTGACACATGAACGTTCTCCCAAACGTCGTGCAATGCAAGCATTGAGGTTTGCGTTGTACAGCCTCTAAACCTGGGCCACTCCGGCCACCTTGCCACATGACATCAAGATGAGGGCACCTGTGACGAGAAGACGTCCCCGCTGTCCATCAGCGCCACTGCAGCGATGCGACTGCCACCTGTCCTGGAAGAAACCGGAGACCTTCCACCACCTATGCTGCAAGCACTACTGGCCTGCCATGCCCAAAGCCGAGCGCCTCAGGATTAGCCCCTGCAAGCAATTCCCCACCATTCTGAGTAGTATATTATAGATAGTATATGATATTATATTTCAGCATACTATGGTATGTTACTTAATCACAGCTGCGAGTCCAGGCTGGGAGATGGACGACATCGCGAAGCTGCAGCTTCTGTCCAGCCTTCACTACATGTTGCAGCTTGAGCTTACCGTGTCACTGCTGGGTCAACATGATCCTGCATCAAAAGTCCAGATAGCACCAGTGTCATCCGAATATTAACCAACTGGCGCACCTCGTCCTTCAACACCGTCAGAGACCACTCCATCCCAAAGCCTCGCGCCTTGGATATTCTTTTTAAGCTAAGTTGCCATAATGGGTACATAGGGTATAATGGGCATATAGGGTAGTATATAGGGTGTATGGGGTATATGGGGTCTATGGCGTAAGGAGTTCCGAGACTTCACCCCGGGCCTGTCCTCGATTACCACTGCAACAGCAAAGCTGACATCATGGAGACTCAGACTTGGACTACTGTGCCGGCCTTGCTGGCAGCTACCCAGCGATGCACATCGCCCTGTGAGCAGAATGTGGCAGAAGCCCAGATGAGCCGTTGTCTAAACTTCTAGTATCCCCTTAATAAGCCCTATAATAGTCCCTATATAATCCCTTATATAACCCCCCTTTAAGGAGTTATAATCCCTTATATAACCCCCTTTAAGGAGTTACAATCCCTTATATAAGCCCCTTTAAGGAGTGTAGGCTGTAGCTCAGATCAGCTCTGCTTCCAGGCCTCTGGAGTGATGCCAAGGCAGCCATCGTCGCCTCCAGCAAGTGTGGTGAACCCAGGCCTTAGAGGATGACATTCCATGACAGGACGATCTGCCATGCTCGACTTCTTGTAAAGGTTTCCCTAAATAATGGGACCCCAATATAGGCCCCAGTATACCACAATCCTTATTAGAGGGACTTTCAAAAACCATGTAAGTAGCGCTTTTTTTGTGATTGAACCTAGTAAGATAATGTTCCTTATATAAAATACTATACCCCAAGAGGAGGATATAGTCTTACTCTATATTGGGTACCATAGTATCCCCCATAAAAATACTACTCATGTAACAGCATGTAACGTGCTGAGCACGTTGCGCTCCCGGGATCTCGGTTGGGATGGCCACGCAACTCCAGTCTTTCAGGCCTTGGCACCGCCCAAACGTCTCGGGCAGTATGCCCCCAGCATCCCCCATTTTGGGTTTATACAGAGATTATATGGGATTATATAGGGATAATGGAATAGAAAATTGAAACTCAGCTACCTAACGAAGTCTTGGCAGATTGCCGCTCGCCTGTGCTGCAATAAACCATCGCCATCGTTAGCTAGCACCTTCCGAGGTCCCCTGTCTACCTAGAATATGCCGGATACATTCCCAAAAGGGCCCCGGCACCGCCAATTTGAGCTACCATTCGAAGTTCCGATTACAAAACAGATTGTGAATCTTGGCCAGCTTGACTTGCGAGGATTGGCTGAGGCTTGGGTCCCTAAAACCTATGTGCCCCAAAACACCCGTGCATGCTATGCATCCTCTTCCCCACCCGTTTCGAGTAGATTTATGAGTGGGTCGTCGGGGAATCACAGGATGTGCCTGGTTACTAGTTGTGTCGATGTTCCTCCAAACAGTACGGCTTTTGCGTGATGGATTTTGGATGCCTTTGGACTGTGTCACAGCTTGGCGCCCCAAACGTGGCACCGGAATCGAACCTCTCACACAGATCCTTCACCCCAGCCCAACTGAGATTCCAAAGGTTGCGCCAGCCCGCGCATTGCCATCTTTTCAAACTCGCAAGGTCTCTACGGCTGTTGACTCCTCCATGTACGTACGGGTTTCTATCCAAGACATGTGCTCAGCCACGTGCCCGGTATCTCGGCTTCTTCCTCGTGAATGCATGTGGTCATAAGCAAGAGGGGACATGGCAGTGCGGTCAATGTTCCTGATACAAGCACAGCATCAAGAAGCATACAGCCAAACCTCCTGATCGGGATCGCTGGTAGACTGGAAACTCCTCCAGCATGGAGGATGCAATCCATTCAGGTAGGTGGTCGCAATCACAAGACGTGGCCCATAGCCATACTTGTAAAAGATTCATGAAATTTCTTTTGGCACTGTTGATTCTCATGCGAAGCCGTGGCCTCTGTGGAAGCAGGCCAAGCACGTAGGTCTTGAGCGCGTAGTCCAACGCCTGATGTTGCATGGTTTCAGAACTTCAACAGAACCCACGTACATTTCTCCGCCGTTGCAACTGAAAGCAACTTGGAAAGACAGCAGTTGGGAAAGGGGCTTCTGGGACTGATTTGCGCAGCTCCTTTTCAGTTTAGCAGGTAGCAGCTCTAAACAAAACACACCCACCGGCGACAAACAAAGGCTCGTTGGCCAAGCGGGCATGTGAGCAAGCTTCGCTCGCTCTAGACTTTCACCGTAATCAGCTCAAGGTGATCTTTGGCATCATGGGTGACCTGTGTTCAATCCCAATGCTCCCCGTCTGCTTCTGTAACAAAGCTACCCTATTGTACTATAGTAGTTTCCATTTTCTTGTCCACTACCCCTATATAACCCCTAAATGTATATATACACATATATATATAAACCGTACTATACTCTTCTAGTTTCATGTTCTTTTCCATTTTCCTCTGCGGCTTCTGTAAGAAAGCAACACCTCTGCTGGCCCTGAGCTTGAGGCTTCTCCGATGATGGCAGCCTTGGGTGCAGCGCCGGTGGCCCGCAACTCCGCAACCTCAACTCATTTGGGGTTATAGGGACTATATAGGGTTTATATAGGGCTATAAGGGTTATATAGGTTTCTATAGTATACTATACTATATTGGGGCTATATTGGGATGATGGAAAAGAAAATGGAAACTACTATAATGGGGCACATATGGATTATAGGGTGTATATATGGGAGACCTAGGCTGCATGCTCTCTTCCCCTTCCTTGCTGGCACCTGTCGTGCTTCCAGGCAGCACAGGCCTCTGCGTGTTCTTTGGGGACGGCTGCAAGCAGGCCACCCGAGGTCTGCGGATCGAAGAGTAGCGGGTACGCAAGGCTGCCTCGAACCTCCAGCACTTGCATTTCAAAATCTTGCAACATTTGTCTAGAGTGTAGACAGGCCATCTTTTGATGGAGCAGTGTCTTTCATGAGCGTGATACTGTAGACAATGCAGACATATGCAAAAAAAAATCAGCAAGCTGACACAAGGCAAATCTCTGAATTATCAGGTCATCAGGATTCACGTGAGGCGGGAGTTTCCTGCAAGAAGCAAGAGAGGTTTGAGGAATCAGTGGCCTCATCATGGTTTGCCACAGCGCGACGGAGTCTGACATTCGCGGGCTGAAGAGAGCTTTCAATGCCCATTCTGAGACAGTCCAGGGCGCCGTCGTACAGTGGAACCTGTGTCATGTCCAACATTGCGTGGACTGCAGAGGCTCGGCACATCTCCTGAGCTTTGCATTGCTGTGAAACTTGAAAAGGAGCTCACTGCCAGGAAATCAAAAAGATGTTGCAAGATGGCTCAGATTCCGCGAGGTGGCCAATCAGCCCGAAGCCTGTGACGTCCGTACATGCCAGCGTGCCCCGCGCTTGCAGCAGGGCAGCGGCCTTGCTGTTAGACATCGCCATGCTATGCAGCGCTGCAGCAATCCATGGACCCCTGGCTTTGGCGCGCATGTCAGCCGCAAAGAGTGTTCCTGTGCCCAGAGGCTTTGTAAGGATCAGAACATCCCCGGCTCTCATTGCTGCCTTCGTCATGGCCGTTCCAGGTAGGCGCCCTGAGATGGCAAAACCCAGCCCAAGCTCACGGGATTCGCATGTGTGGCCTCCCACCAAAGCACAGCCGACTTTCTTCAGTGCGGAAGATGCCCCGGCCATGAGCTGGACCAAATCCTCCTCCTGTTTATCCTCCAGCGCGAAAGGGACCTGCACCAATGCCAGGGCGGTCTGCGGTATGGCGCCCATGGCTTCACAGTCACTCAGCGCATGGGCAGCCGCAATGCGCCCAAACTGATACGGATCTCCGACAAAGCTGCGGAAGAAGTCAATCGTCTGCACAGATGTTACTTTGCCAGATCCGCCATCGGCTATGAGATCTATCACGGCTGCATCATCGCCAGTTCCAAGGACAACTTCTGCCTGCTAAGGGCCACTCAATGTTCTCCTAAAGCTGCAGTCTAAGGGACCCCTATCATGATGAATGGTCTGTGCGGCTGGACATGGGCTATGGGTGGAACACACTCTTGCTTTAAATGCTGAAACAAGCTTGGGGCCAGCATTGCAGAGGTTGTTTTCCGCCACTCCAGAATCTAGATGTTGAGTAAGGGGACCCAGACCTCTGACAGTAATCACGAGCTCCAGATTATCTTCTGGAGTAGCGTAGGCGGGGAATGACATACTTAATATAGGTCAGTACTGACAAGCAGGCCGAAACAAATACGATTACTTTCAGACTCCTCTTGCCTTTGATTCGGGCGCAGGCTGTCTGGGAAGATCGACTCGGGACATGGCCCGCTCTAACGTGGTGGCACCAACCTTGGCGCCACAGCCGCCACAGCGCATTACGGATTGCTTGAGCAGATTGGCAGCAGTGCCTCCGGCCGCTTTAGCCACTGCGAGACCAGCTGTGCTAACAGTATCCAGAGATGCCGGCATCTCGGGCAGCCCTTCGAAGTAGTTCCACATCCAGCGTCTGTCAATCCAATCTTTCAAGCCCCATAGCCAGGCGCCTTCAGTCGCCAGTGTGCCCCTGGATGCTATGCACCTTCCGTCACCCAGATTCAGAAGTCCCAAGAAGGAGTGCTGCGGCCAGTAGGTCACCAACTTCTCGCCGGTCAAACACGCCCGGATGTTCAACCAAAGAACCATGCCCGCCATGACAGCAAAGACTCCTGCTTTTGGCCGTGGGTGGCCCTCCACGGATGCAATGTCCCCACCTGCAAAGACCGGACCAATGCTGTCAATGGTTTGTGACAATGTATCCTTGGGCTTGCACCTCATCTGCTGGTCCACCAAAAGAAAACCATCCTTGTCCGTGCAAAGCCCACATGCAGCCACCCAATGCTGCGGGGAGCCTTGCGTGCACCAAATGCAGTCGTCGTAGGTGAGGGTCCTGCCATCGCTACAGTGCAAGACTCCAGCTTCTGCGCGCGTGACGTCATAGCCAATGTAGACTTCGATGTCTCGCTGCCGCAAAGCCTTCTCAGCAAGGGCTCGTGCACCCGGAGTGTGCTGGGGCAACAGCCCGCTCCGGGTTACAAGACCTACGGTAACCTTGGCTGTGCTGCTTATGCGTGCAAGCTCTTTTACCAGCCTTGCACGCATTGTGGCAGCCAGCTCGAACCCGCCTGCGCCCCCACCGACTACCAGTAAGCGACGGACACCTTGCCAGGAAGGCACTCGGCTTAGCAAGTCATCCCAGCGAGCACCGAAGCCATCGATGGGCTTCACTGGCGTAATGTTCTCCTTGGAAGCATCCATCTGGACTTTGGGAGCGGATCCAATGTTGATGGACAGTATGTCGTATGCAATTGGAGGTCGGTCACCTTCGAGGTGAATGTGCTTCTTATGCAGATCAATACTCTCAACTGTGGCATGGATCAGGCGAACCCTTGCAAAGCGTGCGAGGACATTCAAGTCCAAGTGGCACTCTGTTCGTGTGTATGTGCCAGCTATATGAGCTGGAAGCATCCCGCTGTATGGAGTCTCCACATCTCGTGTTACGAGCGTAACGCGGACCCCGGGTAGTGGCTCCATGCCCAGCATTCGCAGCACGTGCACATGGGAATGACCTCCGCCCACGAGGACCAGGTCCTTGACAATGGGAATCCTTTCCCATTCTTGATGGAGCCGGAGAGCTTCTCTAGGGTCTGCGAAGATCTGCGCGCTGCGCTTCAGCGCTGCTCGCGCCAGCTCTTGGTCCTCACCTCGGAATACCAGGCCAGGCAGGTGCTGCATGTGATGTGTTCCGGTCGTCTTGCCCCAGCCATTCTCGCCTTCAGCAGTGCGTCGTGCTACGTCAATCTGATGGAATCTCTCCAAGCCCAGGATTGCCCGCAGTTCTCTGACGCGCTGAATCCTCTCCCAGAAGCTCAGAGCTAGTGTTCCATCATCTGCAGATGGGGCCAATATTCGCCAAATCCCGTGCCCCAGTATTTGAGCTATCACCCACTCTGCAGACAGTGGGGCCCATGGTTGCTTGGACAGGCGACGGATCCATAGCAAGGTGAAGATACCTCCGGTACCAAGGGATATAAGCTTCCAGTGGGTTGGCCATGGCAAACTCAGGGCCTGCATGATCGTAGGAGAAGACTGCACTTACACAGGCAAAGGCTAGCCGTTTAAACTCTTGAACGAGGAGCATGTGATTCTGGCTGACAAATCTTCTGGCCAAAGACTCAGCTTTGCATCCCTCAAATGCCCTGGATAAACTGACATTGCAACATCTGCTTGAACTTGAACTCATGAGCTATAGTCTACACATCTTAAATGGGAGTTGTATTCTATGGGGGATTAGATAGGGGACTATTATAGGGGTTATCAAGCGGGATACTAGGAGTTCAGGCTATAGTTCACATTGAATTGGATCGAGCAAGCAAAAAGCTGGGTTGCTGTTAAGGAACTTAAGTTAAGTTACTATATTGGGGAAACCCTACTATTTACTATATATACCCATTATGGTAACTTAATTTGGTAGTTTCCCAAAATAA